AAAAATCTGGATATTTCTTTTCTTACCAAATTAAAGCTAATGCCGATTTGCGTGAGAAATTGATATCTCATTAGGACACTTATCCTCTTTGTACTACCAAACGTTTGGATTATGAAGATTTTCGTAAAGTAGTCTTTATGATTGAGCGTAAGGAACATTAGACTCCTGAAGGTTTGGATATTGTTCGTACTATCAAAAGTGGTATGAACCGTGGCCGTAAAATTGATTCAGACTTAGTATTAAGGGTGGGATGGTGGGTACCCTCCCAATTGTAAGGTATTGGAAGTCATGATTTATGATCTAGCAATAAATAAGAGAATCTCTCTATATGCTGGAAGGTTTATATGCTAATCAGCAGGAAACGAAAGTCATAAGACATAAATATATGATAAATAGGTCCTCAGAGACTACATGAGAGAAAGACAGCAATGCTGTTTTATGATATAGTCCTAGAAAGACGAGTTTTTACTCGTTATTCTACTACGCGACACTTAATTGGTGCCCCGCATGAATGGTGGAACGATCTTCCAACTGTCTCCTAGATGGACTGTGTGAAATTATAATTCCAGTGCAGATACTGGTAACTCTCAGCTACACGGGAAGACCCTATGCAGCTTTACTGTTATGAATTGAATCGCATAGTAGCCCATATGGGCACACCTTTAAGTGCCTTTCGATTCAGAGACATGTTTAACTGGGGCGGTTGCCTTCTAAATAGTAACGAAGGCCTACAAAGGTAAGTTTTAAGGTAATGCAATTTAGCAAAACCTTCATCGTATTGCAATGGATTTAACTTGCTTGACCTGTTTGACTTACAAGTCGTCAGGAGAGTTCAGGATAGACTCAAACCTTAGGGTTCGTCTAAAAATCCTCAGCTCTGTCATAGTGATCCCCACGAAATAGATCGTGGGCTTAAGGAATTAAAGCTACGCTAGGGATAACAGGCTGGTCTAGGGTTGGAGTCCTCATCTTACCCTAGCATCGGCACCTCGATGTCGACTCTTCTTATCCTCCCGGTGCAAGAGCTGGGAAGGGTGCGGCTGTTCTCCGCATAAAAAGGAACGTGAGTTGGGTTATATAAATTAGCCCCAAATGATATGCTTAATACTGTTTACTTTACTATAATGACTAAGATTTATTAGGTATCCATATTTTTGTATAATACTTTATTGTCATCTATTTACTCAAGTCATAAAATGTAAATTACGACTCATAAATAATATAATCATATGCGCAAAATAAATTAGACTGATATTCAAAGAGAAACTATTATTGGATCTCTGTAGGGAGATGCTTATTGTCAAAGGGGTAAATAGAAAAATCATAGTTGTAATTGTCGTATACAATTCTCTCAAAATGGGAAAAATAAAGACTACTTGTATTATCTTTATGGTTTTTTAAGCACCTTCGGTGCTGTTCCACATGTTCTATTGCCTAAAGCTAAAGCGATCCCGTTGGGCCGCGTCAGCGTTAGCTCGACGCTGTCGCGTCAGCTTCGCTTCCGCTAATCCTAGAAAAGGCGGCCCCTACGGGGTTGAAAAAACTAGTGCTACTCACAGCTTCGCTGTTTACCAATGCATCCTGTTTTTAATGAGTTCAGAACTCTTTTTTATGATGCTCGCTAAGCGGACGCGTGCTCGGAGCATGCGACGAATGGTGTTAAATTTGTACCAAGTAATATAGGTGATCTATTGACTACTCGTGGTTAGGCTATATGGCTTCAAGATGATGGTTCTTTCCATAAAGGTAGTGGTGGTATGGAGTGAATGCTAAAAATGGTAATAAACCCTGCCAGCAGGGTGAACCCGTAGGGACGCTCGTTGCATGGATATACTTCGTGAACAAGTTAAACCATATTTTCATTCTAGACTGCGGAGCAGGAATTGGGATTGCGAGAGCAGGATTAAGTATCAATCATAGTCATTTAGAGCATCTAAGGGTGTTCTGAATTGGTGATACAAGTGAAAACGATTAACGATAGGTTATGCCTTCAAAGATCGTCAGAACAATTAACGATAGCAGCAAGCTTTGCTCCATGAGTTAAGTTGTTTTGCTACAGACTGGTACACTTGTGGGTCTCCACAGCTTTGTTGTGGTGGCTTAATGCACAGTCGGAAAGTCTAAATATTGCGATTCGCTCTAAGCAGATTGTAATTGGACTTTTGTAAGTACGTCGTAAGACAGTACGGACCCTATGTACTGAGAGATTAGTAAGAAATAAATCGAGCGCCACGGTACGAGAGGACCTGGCTATATGAACCAATGGTGATTATTAAACTTTAGCGCGGTAGTGGTCCTACGATTCACTTCAAAAACCTTAAGGTTTAAAGTAGCTATGTTCATCCCAGTTAACTCCTGAAGCCATCTTAAGGAGGAAACACGGTTTATATTAAGTCTTACTTAAAGAAAGAAGAGCTAGAATAGCTCTTGATTCGCAGCTATGCTGTTACAGGATTTTTTATAAAGAGCACTAAAATGCTCTCTGATTTAGCGAATTTAAGCGGTAACCAACCCTACGGGTTGCCGCTATGCTATAGATTAATAGCTATCTCCCTTAACTTGGACGGGACGACCTGTAGACTCGCAACAAACGGCTGGGGAAACATGACGTGCCCATAACAATAAACCTTTTAAGGTCAGTAAAATCAGTCTTATAGACGATTAAATGTATTGATTGTTACTACCATATTTTTAATGTGAGTATTTGCAACAACTCATAAGGATGTTGCTATAGAATTATATCCCAACAATGAAGCAGACTGCGAGGTAGTCCGTCCGTCGGTTGGTTATGCTCGTCACCGAGGGGGACATGGTTACAACTCCGTTCATAATGACATGGTCCTGAGCAGCAATCAGTCTGTCCGTCCCTTCGGGTCGTCACCGTGACTAATTAGTACCTGTAGGACATTATTTACACTAAGTTAACATAACTATTACCTGTAGGACATTATTTACACTAAGTTAACATAACTATTACCACAAGGGGTCTGGTCGCACGCGGTCCACGAGTCCGCAGGTCGCCGTCGGCATCGTTCGCGTGGTTCTGCGGTGCTATGATCCTGCTGCCCCACGCATCTCTTGGCTCAGGTTGTATGGCTGTTTGAGCACGGGTCAGCGTTTTTCACGCTAATAGAACTGATGATTTATAAGTGATGCGAGCCCTCGTCGGTTCGTCTTGCATATATGGTTGATCCAAAGGTTTCTATCAATCATACCTAAAGGTCCTAAGACAGTCCATGATTCATGACAGATCGAAAGACTCATTCGTGACAATAGGATTAGTCGTAGGGACTCTGAGTCTTGCGTTCATTCTGTGAATGATGCCATAGACTTGTATTTCAGTATAAAAGGCTACGTAATATGTAGATAACATAGCTATAGATACCTCTAATTTCGATAATATGTGTATGGACATAGTGTAAAAAAGTACAAGAGGTAGTTTTTATGAGTCTAGCATTTTCGATATAGGAATAGATACAAACTTTGATAGTTCAACTACTTTTTAATAGTTCTACAGCTAATTTCCAAATGCAACAATCCCTAGGTGGTGGTCAAATAGGAATAGATGGTATGTCTCTATGGTAGATATGGTAGGTAAATATATAGATGCCAATAATAATATAGAGTACATGGAAATCGAATAGTCCAGGGATTCAACAAGTAGGTGAAGTAATTACAGAAGGTGAAAGTCATCGTAGATCTATGCTTGGTATGAGTGAAATTCAAATGGGTAATGATATGAAACTATTTATGACATTTCTTATTCTAATTGGTTTTTGGTCTTAGGCAGTATTTATGGTTTAGGATCTACTACTATTTTATATAAGTTTTGAAGGAGTACTAATACCAATGTATTATTAGATAACATTTTATGGATCTCGTAATAAAAAAATTCAAGCAGGTTATCAATTTGTAATTTATACTTAGTAGGGTTCTTTGTTTTTGTTTTAGGCTATTCTACTTTTGTATTAGGAATCTGGTACTACTGATTATCAAACACTAATAGCTTAGCCATAGAGTGATAATAGACAATAGATACTATGGTAGGGATTTTTTATATGTCTAGCAGTTAAAATTCCTTTGCCTTTTCTATATGGATGGCTTCTAAAAGCTCATGTTGAAGCACCTACATCTGCATCTGTAATATAGGCAGGTGTACTACTAAAATTTGGTTCTTATGGACTAATTCGTTATTGTATTCCTCTTTTCCCAGTAGCATCTTATTATTTTACTCCTTTGGTTACTGTTCTTTGTATTATTGGTATCATTTATAGTTCTTTTGCTGCTCTAGTACAAATTGATATGAAATAGATAATAGCTTATAGTTCTATAGGACATATGAGTTCTTCTACAATAGGTATTTTTAGTAATGATATTATAGGTATTCAAGCTGGATATTTTTCTTTGATTAGTCATGGATTGATTTCTAGTGCTCTATTTCTACTAGTAGGAGTATAGTATGATAGATTTCATACTAGAACTATTAAATATTTTAGAGGTTAGGTTCTAACTTATCCAATTTTTGTAACTTTCTTCTTGATATTCTCTCTTGCTAATTCTGCTGTTCCTTTGACCTCTGGTTTTATAGCTGAAATTCTAGCTTTGTAGGGTGCTTTTAATTTGAATCCTTTTGTAGCCTTTTTTGCTGCATTTAGTATCGTTTTGGTACCTTCTTTTATGCTAAATCTTCTACATCGTATATCTTATGGTAGTTATACTAAATATTTGCCATCTGTTCTTCCTGATATATCTATAAAAGAATTTAACGTTTTTCTTCCATAGATTTTCTTTACTCTTTATTTTGGTATTTATCCTCAACCTATTTTTGAAGCTATTTATTAGCCTGTTGCTACTCTATTGTATGTAGTTTTATATGATGCTCAAAGCTTCGCTTTTGCGGCCTTCGGATCTTTTAAGGTTTCACGATTCAATTTTGTCCACCAGTGATGTAAAAGTAGCATAGAAGGCTCACTTTAAATTCACTTTTAATTCACTTTAACTCACCAGTAGTGTAATGGCAGCACAATAGGCTCATAATCTATTAGTAAAGGTTCGATTCCTTTCTGGTGATAATCTAGTACTTTGAAAGAACTATATTTGATGATGCTAAGCATCTATGTAGGACGCTTTATAAGTTCAATCATAAAGGTTTTAAATAGCTCTTTAGAGTAAATTCTATAGAGTAAGACTTTTAACTACTTGGCTAATTGTGGTGGTTCCGCAGGTCATCATGATTAAAGGCTAACCCCTGACTAATCATAAAGAAGAATCGTTAAAATTTAATTAATATAAATATCGTCACTAACATTCTAATCTTGGCTTAGTTTTTAAATGTTATGAGTCCTACGGTTTTTAAACGGGTATGTCACTACCGCAATTGTTTTCACCACTAACTCTAACGTTCGTCCAATGGTAAGTATTTCTCTTGTTATGATTACTTCTAGAGGTTTTTCTGCACAAAGTAAACACAACTATAGATTGTTATCTAGTACTAACAGAAGATTAGGATGACAATAAATTTAGTTATCATGCTCAACCTATGCCAGCAGCAAAGCTGCGGTACCAAATACTACTTGTAAAGCTCTAGTTGTTTAGGTCAATATGATCAAGGATGGGATTATAGTTTTACAAATTCTAAGTATTATCCTCTAATCCTACTAGCTTACTTTACTTTGACTAAACTTCAAATGAGTGCCTTAGTAGGAATTATGCTAGGAAATGGAACACTAACACCTAGCTACTTTAAAAAAGGTATAGTAGCAAATTTTCTTTATGCTCAATCTATTATCCATTTTGCTCATTTTTTGCAACTAACCCAACCGGAAGGGACGGGACGAACTCATCAAAATCCATGGCAAGTTCCTGCAGGTACTTTTAATGTTCTTCGGTTCGTAGTCGTAAAATAATTGGTATGTTGATGCAGTTAAAGTTCTTTCTGCTAATATTTTTGATACTATTACTCCTATTTATATTGCTTATTGGTAGCGAACATATCCAAGTGACGGATACGATAATTTATCTAGTAAAACAGAAGCAGCTAGTTATTATAATATATCTCGTGGAGCAATCCAAAAAAACTTGGAATGCTTGAAAAATAAAACTGTTTTTATTCATAACAGTATCAGTCTTGTTCTATCTTACGACAAATATCGTAAACAGTTAGTTCTTTAAGAATAATCTTCTCGTAGTGGTTCAAGTCCACGGACTGGTGATTTTACCTCCCCCATCAGCGTCCATAACAGTAGACACTCGTGCGTCCCCATGGGTCCACGTCCGCTTGGAATGCTTCGAGTCCCTTCGCGTTGAGCACTCCAAAAACCGTAGGACTCGCATGGTGCGCAGCCACCAACGATTGAAGGGCCTCTTCCTTGGATCGTATCCATTCATCGCAGGCCCAACAAACCGACCCTACCCAATCCGAAGGGATGGGACGGACAGGCATCGACCAAACCTGAAGGATGACGAACAGATCGTTGAACTTGGACGGAACTACAACGCATCCCGTAGAGTTCGTCGCGTGGCTCCGCAGTGCGCAGCCTCACAAACCCAAAAAACAACGAACAGATTGCTGACGATCTAACCAACTTATAGCATCAGAAGGGACATACTCAATAGTGGGTAGTACATACCCTCTCTAACGTACCTGACAGGGACGGAGGTGGCTATGCCCTGAACAGACTGAAGGACAGATGGTTCCGTGACAACCCTTGTGGAGGAATAGGAAGACTCAGTAGACTCTAAATCTACCGCCGAAAAGCATGTGGGTTCAAGTCCCACCAAGGGTAAGTAAAAGACATGGTTCCCGTAGGGTCGCGCACCATACAAATTGAAGGCAACAAAGTAAAAGACATGGTTCCCGTAGGGTCGCGCACCATACAAATTGAAGGCAACAGGACTCCCGTGTTAGACCGACCGAATCGAAGGACGGACGGGACGGATGGAGCCACGCGACGACCAAGGTTTCAGAGTGAGCCGTAGGTCTGCGATGTTCTGCGGTCGTGATCAGTGCTTACCTCAGAACTGACTGCCGAGCAAGTAAGGCCCCCCCTACGATGGGCTGCGATTGACTCGTAGGCCCTTCGTGCTTACACGGTGTGGACATGAACAAATGGAACCAGGTTTTACGTGATACAGGTTGTCATTTTTGGGTGCGTAACTTAGATGAATCAGTTCGCAATGTGGCTTTAACAATAACCTACCCAATCAGAAGGGACGGATATCGTGGCTCATAATAAACCATGGAGATCTGATGGTCACCAGTAATGCCATGTAGAGCATGCGCATGACTTACCCTCACAGATCGCTGAACGGATGCAAGGCTTAGAGCGAAACCCTTCGGGGAATTGCTACCGCTACGTGACGATCAATATAAGCTAGCACCATCGTTGTCGCGTCACCCTTGGGTAGGTCTGTAGGGTTACAGCTTAAGAAACCCTATAGGATCTAAAAACCCTATGGTTCATGATTTATAAATCTATCATATCAATATATGAATTCTTTTAAAAATTTGGTTGCTAAACAAGCACATCCTTTTCATTAGGTAGAAGTATCTCCTTGGCCTATTCTAATGTCTTTCTCTATCTTTACTGGAGCTGTTGAAGTAGTCTCTTGGTAGGGTGGTTGGCAAACTAGTGGTCTATTTGTACCTGCTATATTTCTAGTTACTTTCCTATGGTGGCGTGATGTTGTTAGAGAAGCTAAAGGAGGTTTTCATACAATAACAGTACAAAGAGGATAGTAGATTGGATTTTTGCTATTCTTGATTTCTGAAATTATGTTGTTTGCATCCTTCTTCTGGGCCTATTTCCATGCTAGTTTGGCTCCTGCTATTGAATTGGGCTGTACTTGGCCTCCAGTAGGTGTTAATAGCGTAAGTGCTTGGAATCTACCTTTGGTAGGTACTTGTGTACTACTTGCTTCTGGTTTTATTTTGACATTTGCACATCATGCACTAATTCAAGGTAATAAAGATAGTGCTCTAGTAGGATTCTTTTTTACAGTTCTTCTAGGAGTTGGTTTCTAGTGCATTCAATATACTGAATATGTTTATTCTGAATTTACAATTTCTGACTCTATATTTGGCGCGTCTTTCTTTATGCTCACAGGTTTGCATGGCTTGCATGTGATAGCTGGTACTCTATTTTTGGCAATAAGTATGATTCGTATTTATCTAGATAACGTTACTTCTGAACATCATCTAGGAATCGAATTTGCAATTTATTACTGGCATTAGGTCGATGTCGTTTGGCTTGTTCTATTTTAGATTGTTTATATGTGGGGAGGTGCTAATTAAGATACCGAATCCTACTGAACACTTATACTTATCATTCAGCGATTATTTTTACTCATGATAAAATCACTCGAAACGGAGTGACGATCAAGACCTCAAGCCGCAAATCTTCAATTTTGAGCATTCCTAGTTTAATTAACGTGATGAACCAAGGGGCTGACTGATACGGTGCTGCGCGTCCCTACGAATTGCATTCCGTAAACCTACCCAAAGGAACGGACTGACGGGATAGCGGACGGTTAGGCCTAATTCGTCGTGTAACTACGTGTATCGCTCATACGACCTACGGACGCATGTGCTGTACATTAGGAAGGATCATAGCCATGCGTCCCAAGGGATGGACGGACGGGTTGCATGGGCATCCATCCTTCGGTTTAAGTCCGCGACCAACCAATCAACCCAAGGGGGGGACGAACGGACTTGGAGTGGCCAAATGGTAAGGCTCTGGCCTTTGAAGCCAGGATTGTGGGTTCGAGTCCCTCCTCCTCAAAAACGAATGGAACCTAAGAGGCTAAACACAATAATTATGGGAAGCATTCCAATAACATTTTAGTTTTGTTCTCCAATGGAACAATACGTAGTACTTCCATTGTTGACTCTATCGATTACAGTAACTAACGTAATCTTTTATCTACTAATGGCTAGTTAGGTTTCTCTATTTATAGCAGCTCCAGGAATAGCTCATAAAGGAGAACTAGTAGCAACATGGTGGGGAATTTAGAATGAATCTTAGTATAGAACAATTCTATCTATGGTAGAAAATTATATAGGAAAAAAATACACAGTATATTTCCCATTGATTTATACAATATTTCATTAGATACTATTTAGTAATTAGCTAGGTATGATACCATATAGTTCTACACCTACAGTTGAAATTGTAATGACTTTGACAATGTCTTTTACTCTTTAGGGTGGTGTACTATAGATTGGATTTTTGACTCATAAAGCTTTGCTTGTAGCTGCTTTTATACCAGCAGGTACTCCATTGGGTTAGGTACCACTAATGATTGCACTAGAAATTTTGGCTTATTTTATTCGTATTCTTTCTCTTGGTCTTCGATAGGCTATTAATTAGATTACTGGTCATGTACTTACAAAAGTTATAATTAGCTTTATTTGGGTAGCTTATCTTAAAGGTACCTCTATGTTTATTCTTGTAATGCCTATGCTATAGTAGACAATGTTTTAGGCTCTTGAATAGTTGATAGCATATTTGCAAGCATATATATTTACATTTATTGTATGTCTTACAATTAAAGATGTTTGTTAACATTCTTCAATGTCACTTTTATAGTACTAAGTATCCTAACCTTATTCAAATTTGTCTAGTTGGACCAAAAAATAGGGAGTCTACATTAGGTGAATGCACTAAAAGATCACTATAACCAACCTACCCCCAAAGAGACAACCCATAGGGTGAAGGTAAATTATGAATATATGTATTTACTCATACATCTACTAATCAACAATATGTTGGAGTCCTGCGGCTGCTGCAACCGTAGGACAACCCTACGGGACGCTGCGCACTACAACCAGAGGACAACGTGGGTGGTGGTCACTACCGCGATCCCCTACGGGAACAGCTGGAAGTGAGTCCTGCGGTTGTGTTCAGTCCCGTCCCTTCGGGTCGGGTTAGGTCGGTCGATCAACGGACTCGCTGTTCGGTGAGTATGAAACCTTGCTGCGTCCCTACGGGTTGGTTTAAGTGCTTCATAATATATGAGGACGTACTGGCCCATGCATCCCGTCCCTCGGTAAGGTTGGGGGTTCGTCAGGTTGCATGACATGTTTTTTCGCTTGAGCTCGTCCCTTCGAGTTGGCAACCGGTAAGGTGGACACGATTTGGCGTGACAGAGCCATGGAGGACGTCCATCAGTCGGTTACGCTTGGAATCCTTCACCCTATGGGTTGTTGACGGTGTTAGAGATTATACCAATCCTTTTAGATTGTTGAATTAGACCCAATTGAATTAATCGACGAACGAATTGTCGCGAGCTCATAACATAGCGTCCACGAGGCCGTAAACGATGAACTATTCTTTAAGGGTTCTTTAAGACATGATAACAAATCCAACCCCAAAGGAACGGATCACATCATCGTGTGTCATCCAACCCAAAGGGACGGATCACATCATCGTGTGTCATGACTGTGTCATCTTGATGACGAATAGCTTAAAGGCTTATTAATATTTATGAGAATTACTAAAAGAAATCCTCTACTAGCTTAGGTTAATGATTATCTAATTGATAGTCCAGCTGCTAGTAATTTGAGTTATTTTTGGAATTTTGGTTCTTAGCTAGGTCTAAATCTAGTTTAGATGATTATTACAGGGGTTGATCTAAGCCCCACATGGTATGAAAATGAATTTAACGCTACGCTTGATTTGAGTCCTTAGGGTTAGAATGTTTTTCTATGCAAAAATGTTGTTCCTCTTAAAGTTTATGACAATTTGGCTGATAAAAATATTATACGTCAAATTAGGTAGGATAATGAAGATAAAGGTGGTATTTATGCAGTTGTTAATAATTTTAACGGCAAAATATATATTGGTCAAGCATCTTTGGGTAAAATCTATAGAAGGTTTAGAGCTCACAAACAATCAAAGATTGTGGTGGTAGCAAACTAGTAGGCAAAGCTATAGAAAAATATGGTATTGAAGTATTTAGTTTTGTCATATTGGATTATGTTGATGCCAGCCCTATGGCTGATAATTCTTAGAAAGAATTTCTTGAGTTGCGGGAAACCCACTTTATTCGTTTGTTTCAACCTACAGGTTATAATGCTTCTAATAGTGGTTCTACAAGTTAGGGTTATAAGCACTCTGAGGAGACTAAAAAAAAACTAAGTGAATCTTGGACTGAAGAGCGCAAAAAAGCTGCTAGTGAAACAATAAGAGAGTATGTTACTACTCCTGAAGCTATTGAAAAAATGGTAAATAGTTAGAGAAATAAAACTCTTCCTGAAGATGTGCGTAAAAAAATGTCTGAGACTCGTAATCGTCCTGAATATAAATAGATGGTAAGTAAAAGACATAAAGGTAAAACAATACCTGATTCTATTAGAACCAATCACAGTCTTAAATAGCTTGCTAAAAAAGGTTATGATATTTCTAATGCTTCCCCTGTTGATCCATTTTGTATTATTAGACTTGACGGTACTATACATTCTCGTTATGCCACTTAGATTGATATACAAAAAGTTTTCAAAGTGAATAGTTATCTAGTTCGCAAATGCTTTCATAAAAAACTACTTTTTTTGGATATTGGTTATATAGAACTCAGATGATCTTTTACATTTTATTACCATAGTCATAAATTTCATATTTACGTTGGTTCTTGATTTATGGCGATATTAGTGTTAACGGTTAAGTTGCCTTCAGCAAGACCGTCGATAATGACAATGTTTGCTTTCCTAGTGCGAGTAAATACAATGAGTTTACAACTAAATTGTGTTCTTATTCTTTATCGCTACAGACTGGTTCACTAATGGATGTTTTTTTTAGTATTGGTAAGAGATTTTCTTAGTACTAATAGGATATTTAATGTACAGTCGAAGTCTAATGGACTTGTTTGTAGGCCATGCACTATAATAGTAATGTAGCTTAGGCATTTAATTCTGTCGAACATATTGTTCGAGACGTTAACAATGGTTGGCTAATTAGATATATGCATGCAAATGGTGCTTCTTTTTTCTTTATTTTTGTATATCTACATATTGGTAGAGGTCTTTATTATGGTTCTTATCGTCATCCTAGAGCACTACTATGGATAATCGGTGCAGGAATTTTTGTTATAATGATGGCTACCGCATTTATTGGTTATGTCTTGCCTTGGGGCCAAATGTCTCTATGGGGTGAGTGCCCTAATGTATAGTTGCAAATATATATTATAGGAAAAACTAGAGTTCGATCTAATAAAAGAATTGGACCACATGATTTCGAAGTTATTTCTTTTATTTTTGGTGCTGTTATATCTGATGCTCAAGCTGAACGTCATGGTAATGGTACAAGAATAGTTTAGCAACAGGAATCTAGTAATAGAGAATTTATTGAATGGTATAATAATTTTCTAGCTATTAGAGGTTATACTTCTCCAGATATGAAAATTTAGTCTAGAATAGGAACTAATTGTAAAAAAAGATTTTATTCTAAATCTGCTACTTGGACTTATACTAGTTTTAATTGGATTTATGATAGTTTCTATAATGATTCTGTTAAAATTGTTCCTCTTAATTTTTATACTTATCTTTCTCCTATTGCTTTGGCTGTATGGATTATGGGAGATGGATCTAAAGTATCTGGAGGAGTAAAATAGTGTACAAATAGCTTTACTAAAGAGGATTGTGAAAGAATTTGCCTTACACTGCAGTGTAAGTATTCTCTTCAAGCCTCTGTTAATAGTGCTGGTGTTCCTAATCAATGGGTTGTTTATATCTGGAAAGAATCTATGCCTACTCTTATTTCTATTGTTAAACCATATATGGTTCAATCTATGCTATATAAATAGCATCTATAATATGCAATTATATCGTTATAGAATAACAGGCATTATGTATGTTTATTTTATAATTGACATAGTGAAAACGGTCAATAATAATATATAGGAAAGATTTTTTATCTTATCGGAACTTTAGTTCCTTTATCAAGACCGTTGGGAGATTGTTTTTGCTGCAAGCGATAGCAGCTTGTGGAGCAACCTATCAAGATTTGCAACACTTCGTTATGGGCTTAACATCTTTCACTACAGACTGGTTCACTATGGAAAATAGTTAAAGTATATCTACTAAGCTATTTTTTAATGTACAGTCGGAAGTTTAAGAAATAATGTATGGCAAGTCCATGACTTATTTCTTTTAAGTACATCTTAACATGATCTACGATCGTTTTTAGGGAAGTTTTATTTTCCTGCAAGATAGTACAGGTAATCATCGAGATATATACTTGTTGGTTATTAAACTTTGGCAACCGTAATTACTAATCTATTTTCTGCTATACCATGGATTGGAAATGATCTTGTAGGATTCATTTGGGGAGGTTTCTCTGTAGATAATGCTACTTAGAATAGATTCTTTAGTCTACATTATCTTCTACCATTTATTTTGGCTGCATAGGCTTGTATGCATTTGATCGCATTGCATGTAGATGGATCTAATAATCCAGAAGGAATTTCTAGTACTACTGATAAACTAAGATTTCATCCTTATTTCACCAGTAAAGATTTGGTTGGATTTTTTTGGATGGCTATACTATAGTCTATATTTGTATTCTTTTATCCAAATTATCTAGGTCATGCTGATAATTCTATTCCAGCTAATCCTTAGGTTACACCAAGACATATTGTACCTGAATTTTATTTCCTACCATTTTATGCTATTCTACGTGCTATTCCTAATAAACTTTAGGGAGTTATAGCTATGTTTGCAGCTATTCTTATAATGATTCCATTGCCATTTTTTGCCACACTAAGTTAGCGTGGTCACAGATATAGA